CTGAGCCACCATGGGAGGGGCTGCCGTTATGGCCTGCTCTGCTCTCCCTGGCCCTCTCTCAAAGGCCTTCGTAGAACCCACCCCAACTCCAGCTGCCCTGTGCTGCTCACGGACCCGCGAGCTCAGAGGAGGCGGTGGAGCAGAAGATTCCACCTCAAGAAAGCAAGGCTCCTGGCCCTGCTGGAGAGCCACTGGGGTGGTCAGCGAGTGATCCTTGCACCCTGATGAAAAGCTGGTATTTCCAGAAGCCTGTGCCTCAGGCCGGTCTGCCTTGGCACTGCAGGGAAGCATCTCGTGGCTCATGGGGCAACATGAAGCCCACCTGCTCCACAAAGCCGACTTTAGTGGGCTTGCAGGAGGGAATGGTGACGAGCTCAGAAGGGGCCACGGAAAGGCTTTTCAGATTATGAACCTGCTACTGTTGGTGATGGTGGTAGTGATGATGGTGGTGGTGGTAGTAGTGATAATGATGGTCTTGGTGGTAGTGTGATGGTGATGCTGTGGGTGAAGGTTGTAGGAGGAGGTGCTGATGATGACAGCGGTGGTAATGCTGATGCTGGCAGTGAGGATGGGCTGGTGAGGATGGGGATAGCTACCATATTTTGATCACTTGACCATACCACTTCATACAACCATGCTCTTAATCAAGTGTACGAAGGACCAAACAGATTCGGAGACATGAAGTGATTTGCCTAGGTTGGTGGGGGAACCTGGATTTTATCCCAAGGAGCCCTTGTGGCATAGTGGGTTAGGCATTGGGCTGCTAACCACAAGATCAGCAGTTCAATCCCACCAGCTGCTCCAAGGGAGAAAGATGAGGCTTCTGCTCCCACGAAGAGTTACAGCCTGAGGATCCCACAGGCAGCCCACCTCTGCCTTATAGGGTCACCGTGAGTTGCAATCTACTCGATGGCAGTGAGTGTTAGGGTTTGGAGACAGGCTCTAGAGCAGCAGTTCTCAACCTGTGGGTTGCAACCCCTTTGGGGGGTCGAACAACCCTTTCACAGGGGTTTGCTGGATTCATAACAGTAGCAAAATGACAGCTATGAAGTAGTAACAAAAATAATTTTATGGTTAGGGGGTCACCACAACATGAACTGTACGAAATGGTCGCGGCATTAGGAAGGGTGAGAACCGCTGCTCTAGCGTTTAGCGTCCACACTCCTATACTGCGATACTGCTCTGCCCTCGTGATGAGTGAACTTCTAGCAAGACCACCCGAGACGTTTGGGGAAGCCCTGGTGGCGCAGTGATTAAGCACTCAGCTGCAGACCACAGCCTGTCTGCATTCTGACCCACGAGCACCCTGGAGGAAAGCCAAGGCCATCGGCGTGCACCATAAAGCCAAGGCCGTCGGCGTGCACCATAAAGATTCACAGCTCGGAAACGCCGAGGTCCGCGCTGTCCTGCCCCATGGGGTGGCTGTGGGTCGGGAGCAGCTCAGCAGCAGTGGGCTTCCAGACCTTTTGCCGTGACATCTGCACGGGGCACTGTTAGTGTCACGCCTCTGCTGTCCCGCTCGGATGACCTCTGGGGTACCTGGAACTCAATCCCAGCCCCTCTCCAGACCCTGCTCCGCCCTCTCCTCTCACAGCTTCTCGGCCTCCCTCCTCCTCTGCCTACTGTTCCACTGCCCCGCACCTCAGGGCTTTGTCCCTGCTGCTCCTTCTGCCTGGACCGGTGTGCACCTCTCTTCGCTCTCAGCTCAGATCAATGTGTTAGGGTACTTTAGAAAAACAAATCCACAGAAACTCATGTGTAAGAGAGTTTTATATGAAGGGTAAGTGCACATCAAGAAAACATCCCAACCCAGTGCTGCCCAAGCCCACAAGTCCAACATTAACCCATATGTCCAACACCAATCCACAAAGTCCTCCTCCATCTCACAAAACACATGCAATGATGCCGACTGCAGGAGGAAAGCCGAGTCAGTGAATGTGTAAGCATCTCAGTGCTGGCAGGAGTTTCCACATGGCTGCTCCAGCACTCAGGGCTGCATTGGGGTAGGTCCATGTGGCTTCTCCTCAGGGATGTCTTGCAGGAAGTGAGCCTTGCCAGCTAAAGCAGGGAACTGGCTAAGGCAGCTGCACCTGGTCCAACCATCACAAAGCAAGAGACCTGAGAACTAGAAAGGCGAAGCTCACTGAGCCATTTATCCCTCTGCCTTTCAATTAACCCCACATGTGTTTATCGGCCAGGTTGGCACAATAAACTAACTACCTCAACCAGCATGCACCTGTCTCCGCTCTCAGCTCAGATGCTGCCTCCCACAAGGCTTCAGTCACCTCCGACCTCAGTAGCCTGCCCCACACTGGCCACCCTTCTGTTGCCCCAGGCTCAAGTGGGTGGGGCTCCAGGACAGCTCAGGAAAGGTGGTTTCTGGTCCCCTCCAGTTCAGGCTCCTGGGGACCCGCACTGTAGGTTACATGGACAGACTCATGGGCCAGGGAGACAGTGGGGATGGAAATCAGGTCTAGAAGCTTCCAGGAGATCAGGAGTCTTGATTTAAACACCGCATCTTTCAAGTCTAAAAATTGTCAGCACGGTCAAGGCACTATCCTCTGAGCTGGATCATAAGTGATCTTGGCCTTCATTGGGTCACATGTTTACAGCATTGTCTCTCCCCTTAAGCCCTCGAGGTCAGGGACTATGTCTGTCTCGTCTTAAACCAGCACCCTGCACATTGCTGACCTCAGTATGTGGCTTTAGGAAGAACCCCTTAAATGTTAAAGCCTTTGCTAGTTTGAAGCCCTGGAGGTATCATGGTTCCGAGTTGCACTGCAGTCTACAAGGTCAGCAGTTCAAAACCACCAGCTGCTACACAGGAGAAAGATGGGGCTGTCTACTCCTGTAAACAGTTAAGTCTCAGAAATCCCCAGGGACCGTTCTACCCTGTCGTCTAAGGTCCCTTTGAGTCAGTATCGCCTAGATGGCAGTGAGTTGGTTAGGTTGGGCTAACTAGGAAAAGCTGGGCAGGTTTGAGAACGTCTCAATGGCAAGGCTCTTAGAAGCAGTGAGTTTTATTTGTTGAACATGCTGACTAGGGTGTTGCGTGGTGCCCTTCCCTGAAAGAGCTGAGCTAAGTGAACAAGCAGATAAGAATGATTTGTGGTGAGCATAATCAGTTGTGAATTACTTTACAAGGTGCTTGGAAACATTTCTTCTTAGGAGTTTAAATACTTCCTGAGACACTGTTTCTCTGCTGATAAGTTTTCTACCAGCCAGAGCATGTGCATTTCACCGGTCTTCCTGTAAATGTCTAAGGAGCCTATTCCAGCTTAGTGACATCAGCTCCACCCCCAGCATTCCTCCCGGAGAGCCCTGGGTGAGTGCTGTGTTAAGGAATCCCAGATCCTGTCCACACCCTGGCACTTGGGATAAGATGCCTCAGAACAGGATTTCCTTATTTAACATCTGCAGAGACCTTGAAAACAGGAGCCCTGGTGCTGTAGTGGTTACGGTTATGCGTTTGGCTGCAATCTCCATGGTCGGCAGTTCAAAACCACCAGCAGCTCCGCGGGAGAAAGTGCTGGGCTTTCTACTCCCCTGAGTGGATGCGTTTCTTGGGGGCCACTATGAGTCATCATTGGTTCAACGACAGTGAGTCAGTGTAGAGGCCTTAGAAGAAGCTCTGGTGGCAGTGCTGGATAAACATTGGGCTGCTAACCACAAGGTTGGCGATTCAAACCCACCAGCCGCTCTGTGGAAGAAAGATGAGGCTGCCTGTGCCCCAAAAAGGGTTTGCAGCCTTGGGAGCCCTCTATCTGGTCACTCTGAGGGACAAGCACTGACTTGCTGGCCATGGGGAGGGGGAGACCTTTGAAATCGTCCCTGGAGGGCGCTGCTAGCGACGACCCTCAGCTGCTAACCAGAAACTTGGGGGGGGGGGGTGCCGTAGTGGTTTCTGCACACCTTGTCTCTAACTCGCAATCTGCTCTAAAAAATAAGCCTGCTAAGAACAGAAGTGAAATAATGGAGAATTTTGTTCAGTGCCCAGAATGTAGTCACCCGGGACCATTGATAGTTAAAAAAGATAAAAGATAGGAATTTCCTCTTATTCTGCTGATTATTATTAATATTTTTAAAAGCCAGAGAGCTATGCCTTGAAGAGATTGCAACTAATGTTACCAAATTAAATGTGCCCCAACCGCAGACGGGCCCACTGATGAGTTCTATGAACTGCCACTCCCACCACAGTGCGAATAAGCCCATCTAAAATCGAATGGGAGAGGTGGCCATTGACTTCACTGATCTTGAAGTGATACCTCAATAAAATGTATGACCTGTTGTGACCATGCGACGGGGACTCAAGTCCAGATCAGGCAACCCCACGCCTGTCAAGGGTTTTTAAGAAGGCGAGCACCAGGGTTTTCTTTTGAGGCCCCTTCTGGTGGGCTTAACCTGCTCCCCGTCCCGTTAGGAGCTGAGCTATTAGTCAAACATATCCCACTGCCATGAGTCGCTCCCTGCGCTTTGTGACCCCGTGGGTCAGAGTCGAACTGTCTCTGTGGCTTACTGAGGCTGTGAATCTTTACTGGAGCTGAAAGCCTCGTCTTTCTCCCAAGGAGCAGCTGGTGGGTTCAAAGTGCTGACCTCAAAATTAGTCACCAGAATGCATAGCCTTCTTAATAAAATATGTAGATAGTATTTTTGGAGAACCATGCACTGAAGCCTTCTAAACAGGAAAATGGGAAAATGTCCAAACAAAACCTCAGGCCTTCCTTGAGCTTCTGCTTCGGGCTGATTGCTTCCATCTGCATGGCCTCTAATCCTCAAGGCCTCCCCCTGGAGCCCGCAGGACTGCCTCCCCTTCAGACTGGAGGAGCCTGGAGCCCAGAGAGCTTAACGTGCAGTGCTCAGTGTCAAACAGCGGGTGCGTGGCAGAGCTGAGGTTCACAGGCCTCCTATTTCCCAGAGGCTTGGCCCTCCAGTTTTGAGTGAGCCTCCCTTCTCCACCCACCCCCCAGTGGTTCTGACTCAGGTGTGTTTTGTGCCCCCAGCACCCCTTCGTCAGTAGCATCAACAACAACAAGGCTCTGCGGGAGCTGGTGGCGGAGGCCAAGGCCGAGGTGATGGAGGAGATTGAAGACGGCCGGGAAGAGGCAGAAGAGGAGGAGCCGGCGGATGCTCCCCCTGTAAGGCCTGGGGCTTGGGCAGGAAGGGAGGTTTCTGTTCCCCTCCAGATCAGAGTCCAGATGCCCACATCACAGGTTACATCAGACAGGCTTACAGGCCAGGAAGACATCATGGGGGGTAGGGGTCAGAATCTAGGGCAACGGTTCTCAACCTGTGAGTCGTGACTCCTTTGGAGTTTGAATGACCCTTTCACAGGGCTCGCCCAATTCAGAGCAGTAGCAAAATTACAGTTATGAAGTAGCAACAAAAATAATTTTAAGGTTGGGGGGTCAGCACAGCATGAGGAACTGTATGAAAGGGTCACAGCATTAGGAATGTTGAGTACCACTGATCTAGATGTTTCCAGGAGAGAGCAGGAATGTCGTTTTTTTTCACATGGAATGTTCCCAGTTTTAAATGCTGGCAGCTATTCCACGCTTCCCAGCCTCTTTAACCTTGACTCCCACGATACAGAATGAGCCTGCTCTCACCCACCACACTTTGGGATAGACATAGGAGGCCCCACAGTGGCAGAGGCAGCTGACCCAAGGGCTCTAGCCACCCAACTCTGCCTGGCTGCCCCGAGAGCCGAGAGGATTCTGTCTTGGCCTATATGTAAACCATCCGCCGCTGTAGCACTTGCTAGGCAGCAGTGAGCTCATTTAAATTAAAAACACATAAGTAAACTATGCCAAGCATAACACGTCAGTGGGCCTGATTCTGTCCGGAGTGGCTGCTTTTCAACTGATGGTGAGGCTGCCTATTCTGAGAGGTTGGGATGGGCTGTTACCTTGTGAAGCAGGGGCTGCGCCTGTCCCCTGCAAGCCCGTACACTGACTGTGTGGAGCTTAAATCAGCCAGGGGTGCAGAAGCCCTGAGAGTGTTGTAGGAGACGAAATAGACCCTAGATTCAAATGTCCTTTACAGTGATACAGATAGGAAGTCTTACACAGGAACAAAAACTGTTTCTCCGGCTAAAGGAGCCCATCACCATGAACCCATAGTGATGTCCAAGAATTTACAAAAAACAGGCTTCTTAAATAGAACATGGGAGTGCAAGGGCAACTGCCACAGAGATGTGCTGAGCAGCAGATCACAGTTGCAGGAGGGACTGCTGTGTCGGAAGGAAACCATGCCTGGACAGGAACATTATACTGCACAGAAGAGCTTACAATACCGGTTCAGGGGCCTCTGACCAAGGCAGTAAGGATAAGACTTAGTACCCCAACTCCATCCAGGGCCCACCGGGCAAAACCCTAAGGGGTGGACTGACCCGGGGAGCGGCCACAGTCACTCTCTTAATGCACTCTGCCTGAGGGCCAGGCCACTCCCTTTGCAGGCTTAACAGTCAGAAAGAATTCAATGGAAGCTGGGTTTGTGTGGAGACTCAGAAATGGATTTAGAGCTCCAATTGTAAACTGTCACTTTCTGCAAATGAAGTGCTTCAGAACGGAAACTCCAAACTGAGGGCAGGCGGAATCGGCACAGGGGCCACACTCGTGGACTGAGCTCTTTCCTGGGCCTGGTTCCACGAGGCGGCGGCAGGCAGAGTTGGGGGTAGGGGCAGGTGGAAAGTGGTCCCTGCAGCATGTTTCCCCACAGTCTGGGGGCCAGTCTTGGTCTGGAGGGTCCCTGAAGGGTTTCAGGCAGGGCTGGGTGTTGGTCGGGGGAGAGGCAGTGTAGACCTGAGTGTTAGAACCACATCTGGGCGCTGAAGGGAAGGTGGATGGAATGGCTTCCACTTGCTGCTTATCCAGGCTCACACACCAGACCCCTGGACCCCAGAGGATATGCACGGTACGGTTCTGGTTATTTACAGTGTGGACACGGGGTAAACATTCACCTGCAGCACTTACTCGCCACGGCGTCCACTCGGACTCAGGCCATCCGTCCATCCATCCTGTCAGTGCCCTGAGCAGTAGGACTGTCAGCGGCCACTTTTTCTGCCGCGCCATGCTCTGAGGCGGGACCTCGATACAGTCTGGTTGAGGACGGGGAGCAGGCCTCTGGGGAATCGTCTCTGCGGGCTCTCGTTTCCGTTCATGTTCTCTTTCACAACAAATGTTTCCAGCGCTCTCTATTTCCCGCCCCCTGCCAGGAAGAGTTCTGTTGGCCAGAACCACGGAACTCGAAACGTAGAGGCTAGAAGGTTGACTGCCACCCCTTTGTTCGGCCTTTATGCAAGTTTAAAGACTTGAATTGGTTGCCATCTAAACATCCAGAGCGATGAGTACAAAAATCCAGAATTCTAGCTTCTAAAACAGCGGAAGATCTGGCCACGGTGGGCCCAGCCCCCCACATCATCATACCTGTGGGGAGCAGACTGACTGGCTGCTGTCCCCGAGGCAGGGCATGCGCTTCTGGACACAGAGGTCCCACCTAGTCCCCGAGGCGCCTCTGACTCATGGCAACCCCAGGTATGTCCACAGGGTTTCCAGCGGCTGATTTGTCAGAAGTAGATCACCAGGCCTTTTCTTCTGAGGCACCTCGAGGTAGACTTGACTCCCTTGCCTTTCAGTTAGTAGCTGAGCATATGGCCCATGCCTGTCATCCCAGGACTCCTCCTACAGCAAGAGTAAGAGCTATTAAACGGAGCTGGAATCATCGACCGGCATGTTCCTGTTCCTTAAAACAGGGATTGTGTTGTTGGTTAGGCAATAGGGAGTGGTGAGGACTGTGGCTTACTAGAGACTAGTGTCTGTTTTCCTACCCTGGCCCTGAGCCACCTGGTTGGGGTCTGGCTTCCCACCTGCTGTGTCTCTGCCTCTTTCCTTGCGGGGCAGCGGCAGGAATGTAACAGTTGGCTTTTTGGTTTTGTTTTCTTTCTAGTCTCTGGTGAACCACACCCAGGACTCTTCAGAGGTGAATCAGCTGAGCACCGGTGCTGACCAGCCTCACCCAGAGTCGTCTTCCACTCCGTCTGTGCCCAGCGAGCCTCAGGACAGCGTGAATGGGCCCTGTGGCGAGTCTTCTGAGGACAAAGCCCTCCAAACCACTGGTCCCCCCGAAGGGGCCCCTGGAAAGGAGAATGGCCTGGCTGTGCCTGCCCCGCTCCGGAAGTCCCGGCCCGTCTCGATGGATGCTAGGATTCAGCTCACCAAGGAGAAGCCGGTCCCTGGCTGGGGGGACCTCAGTCCAGCCACTGACAGGTCCCACAAACCAAGCCAGAGCCGGCCCAACAGCAGTGCCCTGGAGACCCTGGGCGATGAGAAGCTGGCCAATGGCAGCCTGGAGCTTCCTGCCCCAGCAACTCCCGGCCCAGCCAAGAGGGCCTCAGACTGTGGCAGCCTCTCCACCTCCGAGAGCATGGAGTACAGCGCCTCGCTCTCCGCCGACCTGTCCCTGAACAGAGAGTCGGGCTCTCTGTCCATCAAGGTAACGCCGCCTCTGGCCCTGCAGACTGGGAGCAGGGGTTGCTGCACGATGCTCTCTGCCCACCTCTCTGTGGTCTGAGAAAGCACGTAGCCACTGCTCCCTCTGCGGTGGTTCATGAGGATTGCCTTTTCTTTAAGGAACTTGAATGTAGGTCCATCCACAGGGGGACGTGGTGGCTCCATGGTAGAACTCTCTCCTTTCAAGTACGAGCCCTGGGTTTGATTCCCAGCCAGTGCCCCTCATGGGCAGTCTTTACAGTTGCCATGGTGCTGAACAGGTCTCAGCGGAGCTTCTAGGCTAAGACAAAGAAGAAAGGCCTGGTTAGCTACGTCCAGAAATCAGTGACAACACTGTGGCACCCCAGCAGCCTGGAGTTGGCATGAATTGGGGGCCAATTGGAGAGCAGCCAACCACAGCAGTTTGACTCATAGCTGAGTCTCCCAAATGTTGGGGTTTGGTAGGGGCTTAGTCATGGCTGGCGGCTGGTTTGTGTGTGGGCAGAGGCCTTGGTGGGGTTCAGGAGGTGAATTGGCAAAAAGAACAGGGACCCTAAGTGTATACATGAGGAGCTGTGGTGGTGTAGGAGGTACCCATTAGGCTGCGATCTGCAAGGTTGGAGTTCGAAGCCACGAGCAGCTCCTCAGGAGAAAGGCCAGGCTCTCCACGGCCGCACAGGGCAGTTCTACCCTGACCAATAGGGTCACTGAGCCAGAGTTGACTCGACAGCAGTGAAGTGTGGAAACAGGTTGTTTATACTTTCTTTCGGTGCTAAAGACAGGCCCTGGTGGTGTAATGGTTGCACGTGGGCTGCTAACCATAGGTTAGCAGTTCGAAACCATAAGCCGCTCTGAGGGAGAAAGACTGGGCTTTCTACTCCTGTAGAGAGTTTTATTTTCAGAAACCCACAGGGGCAGTTCTACCCTGTCCTGTAATGTCACTATGAGTCAGCACGGACTACAACAGTGAGTTTGTTTTTTTGATTTTTCAAGGCCTACCCCCGCCCCCCCCCAGAGCAGGGTGTTGAGAACATACACCCCAGCACCGCCGACCTGCAGTGACCTGGGCTGATCTGATAAGACTCCAGCCACCCCAGTGCCTTGAGGGGCAGTGGGATGCTGTCCCCTGAGGGAGAACTTGTAACCAGGACAGTGCCATTTGAGGGCTGTCACCAGGACTCCCTTCTCCCCTCCACTTCTCTCTCGTCAGCTTCCAACCCTCCCTGTCCCTTGGACCCATCTCGAACCAAGCCTGGGCCCTGCAGGGGGATGAGAGTCAGGGGTTCCAGGGTGTCTGCAGCCAGGTGACATGGGAGAAGATGGAAGAGTGTAGCGATGGGATCCAGCCCTCAGCAGCTGGCAGTGGGTTAGTCTCCACTGAGCAAGAGTGGGGTCAGAGCAGGTTTGAGGGTGCGGAGACTGACTGCAGGGGGCAACCTGGCTGATGGGCCCCTCTCTGTGAAAGACTCCACCAGGGGGCCCTGGGACCCCAGTTGAGCTGCCACGGTGAGACCCTGCAGGCACAGGCCCGCCCCTGAGTCAGTGCCGATTTTCGGAGGGTGCCGCACGTTACCTCACGCTCCCAGCTCCGCACTGTGGCCACCACATGACTCCCAGTCGGGGTAGAGGTCAGAGAGGCATCCAGGTCAGGTCGGGCTGCCTGCTGGCTCTGTTAGGAACCAGCTCTGGGTCGCCCACGTTGGGTGTGGGCCTTGCCTCGAGTCCTGGAATGACAACCGTGAGGCAACACTTGCCATGAGCCAGGTGCTCCGCCACGTGACCCGCGCCGTCCCTGTGATGGTGAAGCAAGGACTGTTGTTACCCTCCGTTGAGCAAATGGAGACTCAGACAGGACAGATGGCCTGGCCAGGTCACAGAGGAGAGCCAGAGTCAGCACCCAGCTCTCTCTGCCATCACCACCTGCAGGAGAGGGTGTGGGGGGCAGTGGCAGGGTGGAGGGGCCTCAGGGTAGTGTTTGAAGACCAAGATTGGAGTGGGGCAGGGCTACACTCAGGCCCTCCGGTGGAGAAGCTGGAGGTAAGAGAGGGGCAGCGGACTCCCACGTCCTCTGGGCTGGCCCGGGCCGAGCCTGGGGGGATGGGAGGCCCCTCTCTATATGCCTGCAGCTTCTTAGTTGAAAGGCTGAGCTTTGCCTAACGGCTTTCCCGCCAGGACTCCAGGCTGCACAAGAAGACCCTCAAGCGGACGCGCAAATTTGTGGTGGACGGCGTGGAGGTGAGCATCACCACCTCCAAGATCATCAGCGAGGATGAGAAGAAGGACGAGGAGATGAGGTTCCTCAGGTGCGTCTGGGCTCCCGTCAGGGCCACTGGGGGTGGCTGGAGGTGTGCGTGGCATGTGCTTTATGCAGTGGGGCACCAAGGCCTTTGGCTTTGATGAAAGACTCTGCACATCCCCACGTATGTGTGCATCCACCTGACCACCTACCCACCCTTCCATTCATCCACTCCCCACCCACGTGTCCGTCCACCTCTCAGTACAGCCAGCCAGCTGTCAGTCCATCCGTTCCTGGCTGAGTTTCTGAAGTAGACCATCAGGCCTTGTGTCTTGGCCTACACAATCTCAAGCAGCCAGTCTTTTGATTGGAAGTCTAGTCTCGACCCTCTCCCCCACACCCCCACACCCTTTGTAAATGAGAAGCCGGTCTTCTGAGTTCAGTTCTTAGCTGGGAAGGAGTAGATCTGAGATATCTGTAGGGTTTGCTTCCTGGCCTGTGGCTGCTGCGATAGACCGTGGCAAGAAGCAATCCTCGTCTACTTCCGGGGGCCAGAAGCCTATGAACAGGGCTCACCTCTTCTAGAGTCTCAGGGGAGAATCCTTCTGCACTCTCCCAGCGTCTGGTAGCTCCTGGCATTTTTGGCTTATGGCCACCTCACGCAGTCTCACATGGCCTTCTCCTCCTCCTTTGTCCGTTTTCTCCTGTGTGTCTCTCTCACGGGGTCACTTACCAGGTGTAGGACCCATCTCATCCCAAGATCCTCGATCACATCTGTAGAGACCCCTTTTAAGAGAAGGTTCCGGAGCTTAGGATGTAGGCATTGCTTTTGAGGGCCGCCATTCAACCCATGCCTCCGGGCGGCTCTGTATGAGGATTTGCAGGCAGGAGGGGCCAGAGAGGGAGACCGAAGAACCCCCCAACTCTGCCGGGGCCTGGTCTCTGTAGGATAAATTCGTGATTGGTTGGTTTGGTGAAAGTTCTAGATCATCAAACACACATTTTTTAAAAGCGCCTGCTCGCAAAGAAAGCAGAATGTAGACTAAAGGGTGCAGGGAGGCAGTGGGCATTGTACTTGGAGGGGCTCCCAGCCAAAGCCAGGGAACAAAAGGTCCGTAAAATGTTTGACTGGAAAAGCGTGCGCCTTCCCAAGCCAGGAGGTGCCGTGGAGGGTGCTGTGGGAATGGGAAGCACAGGCCCAGGCACATTTTCCTTGTGGCCTGGGTGAAAGTCACCTTCCACTTCACGGCTTACACAGGTCCTGCTTCTCCTGACACTGGCTGCACGCCGCCCACGGTCGCAGCCCCCTTCCCCCTCCCTCTGGGGTTTCCGCCTGTCTGCCCTTTTCTGCCTTCTGAGCAGTGATTGGGCCCATGGGGCTCATTGTTCTCCAGGGAAGGCTGTCCCTGTGTGTGGCTTGCACACACCCTTCTATCCTCACCTGTGAGGCTGAGGAAGAGCAGGGGTCACTCCTGCCCAGTGCCTGGCCCTACCTCGTGACAGAACAGTCACCTTCCTGGGAGGGGCCCAGGATTCATGGAGCTGCGACCTCGGGAATGGGGCTTCCTTCCACCATCTCCCCTCGGGGCAGTTCCAGTTCCAAAGTCGAAATCCCTAGAAGCGGCGCCCTCTGGCGGTGACACTGGACATCGCCCTCGGAGGGGAGCTGCACCGGTGCTGCTCAGGTTGTGAAGGGGGAGCCCCTGCTCGCAGGCCTTTCCTGTGCTGCAGTCTGGAGGTGTAAGCAGATGCCAGGCTGCAGGGGCGTGGAGGCTCAGGCCCTTCCCGCTAGCCCACGCCCCTGTTGTGCCTGGATCCTGGCATTCCTAGAGGGTTTGGCTTCCTGTGGGGGGGCTCCAATTCACCCAGACCCACCTCATAAGGGAGGCCAGTCAGTCTGCTTCTGAAATATCTAGTAGAAGCCCGATGGGCACAGCTCCCGGACACATGGGAGGCCCCGTGTTAGGGTTGAATTGAAAACAACCCGGGGGGATTCTGTTTGTTTTTGTTTTTGTCAGTGGGGAAGTGGGTCCCACGTAGGTTGGGGCCCCTGTGACAGCAGGTTTCATATGTGGTATTGAGGGGCTCTTTCCTCAGAAGTACACAGCCGGTGCTTCTTCTTAGTCTTTCCTCCGTCTGGGAGCTCTGCTGACACCCGTTCACCTTGGGCATTGAACACGCCGATGACATAGCTTCCAGCAATGCGGCGGCACGCAAGCCACCACAGCTCCAGACTGGAGCTTCTGGGTCACACCCCCCAGCGCCCCTCCCCTTCCCCCCTAAAACGGCTTTTGCAGGGTTCTTCGTAAGGCGGAAGCCTGCTCCCTGCCTGCTGCCACTGTCCCAGCCCTGCTTTCTGCACGCTGATTTGCTGGCCTGTGTGTCAGTTCTCAAATCCTTCCTTTCTTTTAAGTCTTCGGCAACACTCACAGAATTCGCCCCTGCCTTCACTTCCCGGAAGAGAGGCGCCTCAGAGAGCAGTGGTGCCCTGCTGGTGCTGTGGCTTAGGGACCGGCTGCTTTCTGCCAGGTTGGCGGATCAAATTCACCAGCCGCTCCTGAAGGAGAAAGATGAGGCTGTCTGCTCCCATCAAGATGGACAGCCCCAAAAACCTTCTAGAGCAGTGGTTCTCAACCTGTGGGTCGCGACCCCTTTGGGTTGAATGACCCTTTCACAGGGGTCGCCCAATTCCTAAGAGTAGCAAAATTACAGTTATGTAGTAGCAACGAAAATAAGTTTGTGGCAGGGGGGTGGGGGGATCACCACAACATGAGGAACTGTATTAAAGGGTCTCAGAATTAGGAAGGTTGAGAACCACTGTGCTAGAGTGTGGTTGAGCCAAAATTGAGTCAATGGCAGGGAGGCAGGGAGAGTTGGGATATGAGGTGCTTCCCCAGAGACACAGGGAGCCCTGGCCACCTCCTATCCTCCGTTTTGTCAGCAGGGCACCTCAGGACTCCAAAGGACCTGAGCATAGAGACCATTGTCCCCGTTTTACCGATGAGCCTGTGGAGCCCCACGAAGACTGGGTGACTGCCCAAGGCCTGCAGCTGGAAGCGCTGGAACCAGTGTTTCAAACACGGCCCCTCTGGGCCTCAAAGACTGCCCAGCCTCTCTTCGTGGTGGTGCTCCCTAGATGGTTAGACCTGCTCAGGGCGGACCGGGGTGGAAAGCGGGTGCCCCGTAGTACAGACTGTGGGCACTGGCCTAGAACCCAAGTCTTGTGGTGCTCCCTAGATGGTTAGACCTGATCAGGGCGGACTGGGGTGGAAAGTGGGTGCCCCATAGTACAGACTTGGGCACTGGCCTAGAACCCAAGTCTTGTCCATCCCATCCTGAGACATCTCCAGGAAGTCACAAGGCCATGGTCCATAGTCACAAGGCCCAAGTTCTTTCTGCCGCATGTAAGTTCATTTTCCTTTCCTGATTTCATGTTGTGTCAGGAAATCCATACTGGCCCATCGTGCCCCAACGCACAACAGAAAAAAACCACTGCCCAGCCCTGCACCATCTTCAAGTCTGGTGCTGTTTCGGCCCGTTGCTGCAGCCACGGTGCCCATGGTTTTGTCGAGGCGCTTCGCTTTTTCACTTTGTTGTGGTTGTGCAGTGCCCGTCAAGCTGATTCCAGTTCATAGCTGCTCTGCGTACAGCAGGACAGAACTCTCCCCAGCCCCGCGCCGCCCTCACAATCTTCCCTATGTTTGAGCCCATTGCAGCCACCGTGCCCATCCGTCTCGTGAGAATCATCTGTTTCTCGACCCTCAGCTCTACCAAGCTGGATGTCCTTGTCCTGGACTGGCCCTCCTAATCGCGTGTACAAAGAGCATGAGACAGAGACTCACTTTCCTTCCTTCTAAGGAGCATTTTGGGTGTTCTGCTTTCAAGACAGATCGGTTCATGCTTCTGGCCGCCCGGGGTCTATTTCGTATTCTTAACACCATAGTTCAAAAGCACCAATTCTTCCCTCGTCTCCCTTAGTGGCTGTCGAGATTTCAAATACATGAGTGATTGAAAGCATCATGGCTTGGGTCAGGTGCACCGTAGTCCTCAAAGTCACACATTTGCGTTTGAACACTCTAATGACGTGTACTGCAGCAGATTTGACTGATGTAATACACACCATTGGAATTCTTACAGCTATTTTCATGGGCGTGGATTGTGGATCCAAGTAAAAGAAGTCTGACAACTTTCATCTTTTTGTTTCACTGCTTCGGTTCGATGAAAGTGACACTTTACTGAGGGTCCAGGGCCATTGGGCTCAGGAGAACCCACCAGTAGGAGGCAGGGGAGCCAGCAGAAAGGGGCCCTTATTTGACCTGCTTCTTGGGATGCAGGTTGTTGATGTGACCACACTTCCTCCTGCAGCAGTTAGCGCGTGGGTGAAGGCGGGCATAACACTTGCCACAGATCATCCTGTCCACGTTGTACTTCTTAGGATAAATTCGTGATTGGTTGGTTTGGTGAAAGTTCTAGATCATCAAACACACATTTTTTAAAAGCGCCTGCTCGCAAAGAAAGCAGAATGTA